TTTTGTTTGCTAATAATAAGGGCACATAACAAATTACTATATTAATCTGCTTTAAAAGCTAGCAGAGTAGCTGTACATAACGGATCTTCAGCTTTTCCTGTAACTAGTAGTGTTTCATGTGAAACTTCTATCAAATTATCAATCACATTAACTTTTTACCAATTTCCATTTGCATAATGTGAGATATGGGAGAAAAATGACTTTTGTAGAATCTGCCGAGGCTGATGGTGTTTGTGCAGAATTTTTGGTCAGGGAGAATTCCAAAGCTCTGCATTTTTAACCTTGGAAACACTCTGCAACACTTCCAAAGGAAGAATGTCGCCACTTACAACCACCATTTTGGTTTCCAGATCTACCTTGTATGACCTCACTCCTGTTAAAAAAAGGCCATTATTAGAAATCGGAATCAGAATTTTGTTCAATGCCCACAGCATAACTCACAGACTGATTACTAAAACGAGATCAAAGAATCATAAAGTTGACTTTTTTCAGAGATGGGTAGCATTGAATTTGCATCCATTTATATTAAAAAATCATCTTATACGTGCTCACCTTCCAGCTTTGAGATGTGCTTCTCAACTTTTTTTGCACAGCCATGGCAATGCATGGACACTCTCAGTATCACTATCTGCGCATCGAGCAAGAGCAAGATATCAATTATAGCCCCAACAAGCTGTATAATAGTCATAATAGTAATAAAAACTGTTAATTTTTTTTGCCAAAATGTAAAAGAAAAGAGAAGGCTGACCTTAGGTTTCAATTGAAAAGCCAATGTCTGTTTTCCATCAACTACATCCTTGAGTCTTAGTTTGAGATCACTGCCACTATCAATCAAAGGCTTGCTCTCAAACTCATCATCTTCAAATTCCATGGAATTAACACAGAAGCAGGTATTTGAACAAGAAGGAAGACATAACTTGTCAAACATCCAACCAAGTTTCCCCATTTCAACTTTTTCCTATTATCAGTATCACACACTCAAATCTGGACTCAACCGATTGCTCACAAAATACAAAACTTATAGCTTGTTATTACGATCCCTTATAGAGGAGGCAAAAAACAAATGAACCAAAGTGCACAGAACCCAACGAATTCTATCCAAAATAATAATAGAAAATAGAGACTGTGCGATTGGAACCTGTCATGTGATGAACCACCAAACACTGACCAAACTAAAATCCACTAAAGACAGAAGATACCAACCACTCGGTTTCATAAAAGGAGAAACATGGGTTGATAAGCGTCTCATTGACTGTTTAGGCCATGGAAGAAACAAATGCATATCAAAAGAGGAGAAACACGATTCATGATCAAAGGAAGAGAAGTGGAAGTGACAAACTTTATATCAGAATGTGATGTGACTTAGCAGAAGCTAGGAAAAGAGTATGCATATATACTATACACAATTATAGAACATCCAAATTAATGAAGTATAAGCTTGGTAAAGAGGTCAAACATAAAGGATCAAAGTGGAGGCATATTTGGTAATACAACTGTTACGCAAGTTGAACACTAAGGACAAGAAAAAGCATGGCAAGACGGCATATGTATATATATAACAGGAAATTCTTTTAAGTTTTGAGCATTATATAGAAACACTGTGCACAGTGCTTGATTGACATCATTCTATACTGTAAACTGATATATATTATGTAATTGGAATAAGTATGATTGATTGGGAGGCATGCATGCTTGATTAAGATTGTGAAGAATATGTGAGTAGATGATTTTATATCGAGGAGTGCAAAGGGTGAAAAATGATATAGAATAAATGAGAGTGATGGATTGAGACATGAATGAAGCTGAAGATGTTGACGTGTTTGTCTATAGGTTGAATGTATAATAATAGTGCAAAATGGGACAGCGTAGCTTGCATTATTGGACATTATGAGCTGAGATGGGTCTGTGAATTATTGTGTTAAATAAGGGGTCCTTTGTTTCTACAGGTTGGGCCATGTGACAGTGGATCCTTTCAAAAATGCAGCAGATTGAGGAATTTTACGTAGCTAAGAGCAAACACACTCTTAAGGGGCTCTGTCAGTCAAAGCTGAGCTTGTTTTTGCAATAAATATCTCTATCACACATTTTTTATATTCATTTCACACCCAGTATAAAGAAAAAATAGTCATAAAAATATAGAAAAATAAATTTTTGACACGTTTGATTTTTTTATATTTATTTGACACTATATTTTCAATTTTTTACTTTTTTTTTTAAATAAATATAAAAAATTATATGATTATTTTATCCTTATAACCTATGTAAATGTAAAGGTGTATCATGGTATCATTATTCAAAAATATAAATTTTTTTGTATTTTTTTAAGAAAAAAAAATAAAAAATAAAAAAAATAATATCAAATGAATACGAAAATTTAGATGTATTAAAGTATTATTTTTATATTTTTCTTCTTTAACAGTAAAATAGAGTCAGAGAGGGACTTATACATTTGTGTCGTGCTTAATGAAAAAAAGATATTTTTACACAGTTTCTTACAATATTTTAATATAATATATATATATATATATATTATTAATTCATTATTTATTTATTAATGTATCAAAGGAATCTCGTGTGGAGTCGTCAAGATGCAGGGTTATTTTCCTTCTCATCACATTAAATTCAAAACTCAAAAGGAAAATAGTGTAGTTTGTTTTTTCTCTAAGTAGTTTCTCTTTTTTTATTCAGTGATTCCAAACGGATTTTACGATATATGTGAAAGCAACTGTACAAATAAAATTATACGAGAAACATGGTCTTTTCTAAATATATTATAGTTTAACTGTACTGAAAACTTTATATGTATGCATCAAAACCTTACCCAAGCGAGACTTCACCTAATGCTGGCTCTACGCAAAGCAAACAGCCAGAATGTTGAACGTGAAAGGAGCAGAGCAGGTTGTAGTCGGTAATTGCTTTTGGAAACTTGTTACCATATTAAATGCAACACTTCTTATCGTCATTTTGTTTGTAAATTTCATCATTATAAACAATTGTATCCCTCACTTTTATATTCATAGGTATATTTATAATGTGAAGATTGTAATAATTTTGTTAAACAGAAATAACATTTTATGATGGATAAAATGGATTTTCTATTATAAGTGTTTTGATGTCATAATTCAGATAATTACAAAAGATCCATGTTTTCTATAATATAACAAAAAATCTAGTTTACTATGAAGTATTTTTTGTTGCATGTTAAATAATATTTTATTATGAAAATCAGTGGTTAAATTAATATAGATATGTAAAAATATTCTCTCCTATTGTTTTTTGCTGCTCTGAGCCACCGACCCAAGCTGTCTGTCACTACTCACACAGTTCTCTTAAATTCTCACTTGCACCATTGTAGATTGTAACGACACCAACAAGCAAAATCCGTTCTTCACGCCACCAATGCTATAATACCATACACCGCATTAAGTATACACAATCTTTAATAAACTAATTCATATGTTAAATTCATTTTCAAATATTTTAAATATCATCGTTTAAAATAGTTATTAAAAATAATTACACTCGTATTATATATATATATATATATATAAATAATATGTATATATATGTATGAGTTGAGTTTTATGGTGAAAGAGAGACTCTGGTCATTGAATTTTTTTTGAAAACTTTTTGTATACATACAAAGATTTACATATAAAAATATTTATTTTAATTATAATATACTTGGTTTCTTCAAAATATTAAATATTTATAGATACAATTTTGACACTTTCAAAATGTTTTAAAAAATCTATCACTGTATATAATTAATAATTTACTACGGTCAGCGTCTTAATATTAAATTATTAAATGTGTTTATTGGAACTATAAAAGGAAAGGTGTTTACTTGTTTCTGCGTGTTTTAAGTACTTCCATATGTACGAAGATTTGAAACATGAATAAATTCGTTTGATTTTAAGAGCATAAATATATTTAATTTTCAAATATTTCTTACTCAGTTAAATATGAAGAAATTAGAAATTGATATTTTTTATAAATAAAGTAAAATATTATATCAAACTATTTTTTTCCTAAAAGGGCGCGTCTATTATTTGGGAAATGCAACAATTATATTTTGTGTCCACAAGACAATATTCCATTCCAGACAAGCACCATAAACAAAAAGGCATAATTATTGAGATAGATGACTTAATTGAATTTTGATTTTCAGATGACATCTCTTTTGATATTTTATCTGTATCTCTAATTTTCTCTTTTGATGAAATATCATAGTAGCCTATAATTAATGAATCAAAATATTTGGCGAAAACAAATATGAGATTTCGGTTAATAATAAATAATTATTTAAAATTTATCGAAATATACTGTGCTAACATCCTTAATTCAGTTAAATTTTTATTAATGAATTTTGAATAAAACATTGGTGGTGATAAATATCACTCCCACCATCCATTGCACTTTTAGGCTCCTCGAAAATAATTATAATTATAATTATAATTATATATATATATATATATATATATAATCTAATATATCTTAATATCTATATAGATCTATCTAATATATATATAACGATATTTTGGTGGCTATGTATTGTTTTAAGAAAATAAAATTAATAATAATAATAGAAATTTGATTAAATATAGTAGATAAATTAAAACAGATAATCACATTTAAACAAATCATTTATTTACTTAATTTTTAAAAATGATTAAATTTTAAAAAATTTCATTTCAAAAGTAAAATTAAAAAAATGGACACAAAAATGTATATATTTTTTTTTATTAAATAATTCTTAATTATAAAAATTATTTAAATGAAGAAAATTATTAAAAAGATAAAATGGTAAAATAATTATTGTAATTTATAAAATAATTAAATTTAAATAAATGATAATTAAAAAGGTGAAAATGATAATATAACTATTTTAATTTAAAATAATAATTACTTAAATGTAAAATTGAAAAAATTATATGTATAAAAAAACGAATCCTCTTTATATTTAAATATATTTATATACAAGTATAATTAACTACAGGTTAAAAAAATTATTAAAAACATTACTGTCCTTTTTATCAAATACTAAACTTTTACAGAGTGAAACGGGATTATTACTGGGTGAAGTTTTACCATCCATCCACAACTAACCACAAAGTAATGAAGATCATTTTACCGAAAAAGGCGGAAAAGTTTCTGAAGTACCAGCAACTTACGTTAAATATAGCTTGTTTGTTTCAACACAACATTTGTATCTTTCAGATTCTGTACAAATAAACATCCTTCAGAGAGTACAGCAATAATCATCCTTCAGATAGTACAGCATGAAATGGGGGCCAAAAATTGTACTGCATTATAAACACATTTCAACCACCAAACATTAATCAATAGTCCCTTTAGAAACAAATATTAAGTCTAGAAAATTTATATCTGATAACCCATAGAACTGATTGGCAATTGCATTATAATCATATCAATGAGTAACTGATGAATTATAAAAATTTATTATTTGATTCTATGTTTAAATAGAATGGTCAATCAATATGTCATTCTTCGTTTATCAGATAGAAGCTTCTTTGTACACATGTTTAGAGATTATATAGCTAAGATTAATGCTATTAATGCCTAATCCCACTGAAGAGAAGCCAATAAATGCACTCATTTGCATTACTATGGAAATTCAGCTTTCTTATTTTGAAGGTTCATCCCGTCTTCGAATATCTTGAACATGTGCATTGGAAGTAGTTAATGACACATAGAGCACACAATCATAGATTGTAAAAACAGCTTGCCTCCCCTAAAATTCATTTTCTGGAACTTAAATTTGAAAGAATATAACATGACATCAATATAAAGGCATTTCATGCATGGTTAAGCTACCCGAAATTTTTTTTCATGACAATTGCTTTTATAAAAACCCACTTTCTAACATGATATCAGAGCCATGGTTAGAGCCTATCCTAACGAGTTCTAAGTGGGCATTCTATTCTTCTATTCTACCCACCATCGGGCCGTTATCGGATTACCCAATTTCTACTATCACGCACGAGATGTCTATACCTCGGCGTGAAGGGGTGTTTGGAAGTCCCACATCGACTAAAGATAAGGCCAAAATATAATATATAAGTGAGGTGTAAACCTCATCTTACAAGCTGGTTTTGTGTAAATGAGTTTAGTTTAAAAATTCACTTTCTGACAGGGAGCTCTCTAAGATTCTATAGTCCGATCCTATTTCGATAAAATTGATATTCGCTTTTATCTCAGGGTAAATCAGATTAATAACAGGTCCTAGAAATAGAATGAAAATTAGAGAGCACCATAGCCTTACTACTAACTTCTGACAATCTGTCCTACTATGGTCCTCTCCCCCCTTTATATAGTTTTATTCTACCCCTTTCCTTCTCTCTAATAATTTCAGTTACAGAGATTGGCACTAATTACCTGTCACCAAATAGTAACAGAAACCCACTAGTTTACTTCATTGTCAGTAACAAATGGTTCAGATCCTACCCTCTATGTTCAGTCCATTTTTGCCAAATTTTAATTTTGGAGGGTTGCTATTTGCTAACGATACTCCCCTGCACGCGTTAGTGAATGTCAAAAGGGTGTCCGAGACACTTCAAATAGAAGATGTGTTCATGTTTCATAGATATTGGCTTTAGCTGCACCGAAACAATGTTGAATTTTGAGTTTGATTTTTAAATTTGTAATATAAATTTACATTGCCCTTCTTGTATATATAGTCATGTACATTCATATTATGAGGCTTTTAGCTTATATTATAACAATTTTCTTGGTATAATTCATTATCTTCTAAACTTATCACTTCAGTTTCATGGTAAATTTTTTTAAATAATCTATCATGAAATAAAAGCTTGTTAGATAAATGGTTGATTAAGATGTTTATCCAAATGCACTCTATGTTCTAGATGTTAGTTTAGTTAATAAGGCATGGCCAATATTTACCTGCTGATACTGGTTACTTTGTCATATACTTGCTCAAATTCCAATTTATCGGAGGAAAAATTACATTCCAAGTGCAACAAGTCAAAAATACATCTACAGGGTAAAAAACAGATAATTAGATCCCAAAAGAAACTCAAACAAAAGTTTTGGAGACATACCTTCCCACAATTTCTTGAACCTAGTTGAGACTGAGGAGCATATCCTTCGGGTGCCATGCTAGCATGATCATAACACCACCATAAGGTAACACTAAACGAAGAATCAACAGGGAAAAATTATAACTTTTCTTTGGAAAACCTGTCACCACATGCGTGTGATACACCTGTTCGATGATTTTAAACTTATCTGACCAGGTTTTCATATAACACAAAAATATGGTCTAATAAGTGACTTTCAGTTCAACTAATTAAAAATATGAACATTTGTGTAAAGACACCATACGATTCTCACAAAAGCTGTTGCAGTTGCTATGATGAAAAGAAAATTTAAAGTTGAACCAACTTGAGGTGGCATGGTGAATTTCCAAGAAAAAAATGGACTGACCCCAAGCTGAAAGGAAGCTCTAAAAGCTTCACGAAATGTCATTTCCTATTCCAACCCAGTCATGCACATGAAGTTTGTAGTTTGATGTGTATTTCAAATTAAATGCATAGTTTGCTGCCAAAGATTTAGAAAAAAAATTGATGATATTAGTGTTTGTTTTTTCATTAAGCTCAGCTGATACCCACATTATGTGAGTGAAGGATTCAAGTTTAACGGCACAGGAAAGTGGGAACTAATAAAAAGAAACGCACGCCTTCACTATCAGGACGTAAGGTCAATTGTTGACTGGATAGTGGTAAAGTAGTCGGAATTGTGCATGTGATTACACTTTATTCAACAATACAATAGCGCGGCGGTAGAGGAATTCTTTTGTCGTCGTCAAGATATGAATAAGTTGATTTGATAGGTTGCAGAAGAAGAAAAGAATATTACAAGCTAACAAAAATAATGTAGAAAGGATTAGGAATAGATAATCACGGGCACTTTGGAACAATAAATTCTGCGATTGCTATGACGAAGAACAGGTGAGAAAAGAAGCATGAACAAAGAAACTAAAAGGAGCGGAAGATCTAATACAAGACAAACGTTCAAGCCTAGTTGAATACTTGCATAACTCCGTTTTGTTAAGGAAGAGCTCCCAGCGTTTGAGAAAGAACACTTCACAAACCCAAAATTGCAGTAACGGATAATCAATACATCATAAAATTGAAGTATATTCAGTTTTCTTACAAGAAAAACATTTAAGCTTGTGAATAACCCATACACCAAAAAAAGATTTTTAAAATTCCAATCCAGAAAACAGGACAAATATGGACTAATAAAATGGTTTGAATAAATTTTCAAGTGAAATAATGGAGAAAGGATTACTTGGTATAAGCGGCAAGGCAACTTCGAAAGAGACCAAGCCACGAAAACCTCGTTGCTCATCAATGACAACTCCTACTTTGCGCTCATCAAGACCGTCCAATTCATCATCACTTACGTTTCTTTGATCATCAGAACTCCACCGATGGAATCCCGTCTTCATCGTAATCGCTCGCTTCCACCCTTCGTACGGTGCACCGCAGCGATGAAACTCCGTCCCCTGTGGCACACAGCAGAACATAAAAACTAATGAAAAGTGAAAAGAAAGAATAAAGAAGAAGAAGAAGAAGAAGGTCTGTAATATGGATTAGGGTTTATTAGTATGGGTTCTTCGATTAGTGTCAGTGTGCTTCTGCCATTCAAAGAATTCGAAAATTTCTGTTCTCGTTGTGTCTCGGCGTTGTGTACTCTGTAGAGTAAGACGCGGGAAGCAAGAAGTGTCGTAGTAAATCAACAAGAAATTACATTGCAAAATTTATGTTACCTGACACATAATATAAGATAAAATAATTTTATATTTTCTCAAAAAATAAAAAAGAAACAAAAAATAATATTAAATAAATATAAAAAATTTATGTATGTCAAATTATATTTTTCTAAAATTACACATCGTACAAGATAGTTGCAAGTTAAAAGTAACATTGAATATTTTATATATTTATATCATATTATGTCATAATATATATATATATATATATATATATTAATATCTTATAAGTAAAATGTGGCATATTTATATAGTTCTGATAAATCATTTTATTTAAATGAACATGTTCATGTATTCTAATGACCAATTATCATTTGATTAATGAGTTTTTGAATTTCAATTAATTATGTGAAAGGATGAAAAATGGATGCATAATTTTCTATTTCAGACAATTCTTTTATTGGACTAAACACCATTTGAAATTAAATTTTTAATATGAAACTTAAAATAAAATAAAGTATAAGATATTCTATAATTATAACTTAAATAAAGTTTGCATGTTATGGTTGCCTTCTTGTTATGTACGGACAGCGATAGTGATGCTGTAATAAACGACAGGAAAGAAGCTTATTATTGTCTTGAATATTTATATGCGACAAAGAAAGACATGGTATTATTGATTAAAATTCCTTTAGTTTTGTTGTTCATTGCTGAAGAAAAGAAAGCTGAAATGAAAGCATATTATGCATTGAACATTACACATGGTCCCGGAAACAAATGGAAGAATGCGGAGATTTCTTTTTTTTTTTAATTGCTTTATTTCTTTTAACTTTTAAGAGTTATTTTCTCTTAAAAATATTATTGAAATTGGTCTATCATGTAAGTAAAAATAAGAGATAAGAAAAATTAAACAATTACGTCTTCAAACATCAAATAATTTTAATTCAAGTATTAGTTTTAAATATATAGTTATGTCCAATATTTTGAAACTCTGATACTTATTCAAATAATTTAGGCATACCACCAGTTTGTTTATTCAAAGTCAAAACAAAATATTTTTCACAAAAGAAAGTAAATCTTCTAAACAGACTTTTCTTTCTAATTTTAAAAGGTTGAACTCAAAATCAAGCTATTTGATTTTTTCAGAGGACGTCTTCTATTGAATTTCAAAATCAACAACCCATGGGTCTAAAATTTTTTCGAAAATTGGACGAGGAATATCACAAGCTGTATGTATACGAATTAGATACATAACACTATAATTTCGAACCTTTTCAGTCACCCACAAAAATATTCACACATAATACACATACTTTCAAAATCAATTTTACCATCCAAATGAAACGTCTGTAATAGATGATGCCGGAAAAAACAATTATAAATATTTTCTGTGTCATATTACTTGTGTTAATTAATTTATTTTCTTTTTTAGTGCTTATTCTATTTTTTTTAAAAAGAAATAGTGAAGAATGCTATATATAGAATTTGGAGTCCTCGTGTACGACCAAAGCTGGAGACTGTCCTAATAAATTAGAATCAGACAGTAAAATAAAATCATCCTCCATATACAGCTGGAGGCTGTACTAAAAAGATTTGCGAAATATAGTAAACATCTTTTTCCAATCAATACTTCCTTTCCTCCCTGTTCTCTCTGTTTCTTCTCTTTTCATGCTGTTACGCTAATCTCTCTCGACTCTGTACAAACTTGTAACTGATTTCTCAATTCAGAAAGATCTCTTTCTCTTGCTCGCTCGTTCGCTCTCTCTTGCTCCTTTGAGCGCTGTAAGGTGCTGAAGTTCAAGACTCATAACTGATTATTCTGCTGCAAAATCAGGTTGCTACTTCTCATTTCATTCATTTTCCTTTTCTCTCGTTATCTTTTCCTTTTCTTCAACTGTTAGGGTTTTCAAACAGTTTTCACTTCACAAGGTTGCTCACTTTAACGCTTTGCTCTTCTTAGGCTAGTCCTCCATTATCAGATCTACTGTTTTTGCATTATCGTTTCTTTTGCCTCCTCTTTGCACTCGTCTCCGTTCGGTTGGTGCGAAAATTGTTGCCTAAGGAACGGAATGTTCTAGATTATTGTTTTCGTTTTAGTTCTGGAACATTCTAGCCGCGTTATGCGGAGCTAACGCGTATGATCGTCATTTTGGATGAAAGCATGAAAAGTTTAGTCTGTTGCTTTGTAGACTTTGGAGCAGTCTGAGTTTACTTAATTGGATTTTGTTTATTTTCGTGAGGAATTGATGTTTATGTTGTATATGCTGTCATGTGTACAACAGAAGTGAAGATGGCTAGTCGACTGAAGGAAGATGAGAAAAATGAACGAATAATTCGAGGTCTTCTTAAACTCACGCCGAATAGGAGATGTATTAACTGTAACAGTCTGGTAGGTTTTTTCCTCCCTCTCTTGATGATAGAACTTGTTCTGAAATTACGGATTGAGTTGTTGTTAGGTGCTCTTTGTGTTAGTGAGTCTTCCTACTATGTACACCATTGAATGTATACAACATCAGTTTAAAACATTCAATTGTAGTTAAGGTGAGGGACATTGATATGTTTTACCTTCAATGTAATGTGAGTAATGACTTTTCTTACTCTTCAAACACCTAAGATGTTTGTGTGTAATTATGGTACGTTTGAAATTGGATGAGTGGCCCAAGGTCATTAATGTTAGGTTGACCTGGGCTTTGTTATCGCGGGAAAGTCACTTTAAATAGATTGCTTGTTAATGGAAACAAAATGGTCTGACAGAAGGAATGCATTATAGCAATGAATTGTAGGTTTGTTTAACTGTTTGCAAATCATTGCACACTTTACATTATGGTGGAGAAATAATGAGAGCAAAATATTTTTGCTTTATGCTGGACAACAGTTAGCATATATATGCAAGCCATGCAATTTTCTAGTTGTATTTGAAAATGCTGTAGTGGATGGCCCAAGTTTTTTTATTTCTCTGGTGTATGGAATGGTAATAATACGAAGGAGTCTTTCACTTAACTTTCTACCGTCAATTATTGAAAATTATAGTTGAGTTAGATGTTTTAATCGTTTAAAGTGAGCTTTTATTTGGGTAATAATGTTTTCATTTTATGATTTTCAATTATTAACCTAGGAACTTTCAAATAATTTATAAGCTTGTTTTGCCGCATGCCTTCATTCTAAGATCATGGTTGTAGCCCATTAAAATTATTGGGATGATAGCAGTATGCAGTACCTATCTATGTTCTCTGGATTTCATGCAAGAAAGTAGCCTTAGATGAATAGATAAATTTGGATATAAGATAGGATGCTTTTGTTGGGCATCTGAATTGTTTTTTTAGATTTTTATTTAAGAGCCTGTAATCTCTACCAACTTTTAGAGTGTTTTTTTTTTTTTTTTTTTTGCATTTTTCTGGACCTACTCTTGTAGAATTTGTTTGATATTAAAATTTGAGAAAAGTTGGTTTCAATGAACCTTTTTTCTTTCTCCGTTGGTAGGGACCACAATATGTGTGCACGAATTTCTGGACCTTTGTATGCACTAACTGTAGCGGAATCCAGTAAGTACTTGCAACCATTTTGCTTGCAGTGTTGTCAAAATGTGTTGTCTTCAAAGATTTTAAGTAGATATTGTTTAGGACCACGATATTTTAACAACTTTTTGATAATAGACTATGTGTGTCAATATTTTATTGGTCTGTATATTTTAAACGAACCAATCACAAGCTACCACGTAGGCAGTTGTAAACAAGTTGTTAAAAAAACTTTTTCCTATTGTTTAAGGTGCTTCGCAAACCCACAGTACTGATGGCTAATATTAGTCGGCATAATGGACTTGTGTTTTGCCATGTGCCTTTAGTTTACAGACTTTCTATATGTTTTCCTCTTGATATTTCTTCTACAGTGGCAATGAAGCTGGAAATCTCTGTATATACATAATGTTTGTTACTTGTTCTTTCTGTATATTGTTGTTTTTGATGGATAGTAGTTTTGTAAATTGTACACCTACAAAAGTCTGATTTTTCATTGGCAGTTTTATCCAAACTGTAATTTGTTTAAATATTCTGTCGTAGAAGAGGTAGGACACTGTTGATTCAGTTTCTTTTCCTCACAACTGCTTTTTGTTTTAATTTCCAGCCGAGAATTTACACATCGGGTAAAATCAATTTCAATGGCCAAATTTACTGCACAAGAAGTTAGTGCACTTCAAGAAGGTGGAAATCAGGTGTGAATGTGTTTTTGTGATAAAACTTGCTCTTTATATCTTGAGTCTCTCATGTTACAATTTCTTGTGTGGTTTTTCATTATATCTAATTTTTGCAGCGTGCAAAAGAAATCTATTTTAAGGAATGGGACCCACAGCGTCATTCTTTTCCTGATAGCAGGTAAACATTTGCTTGTTAGCTCTTGTGTTAATTGCAGACTGCATTATTCTGATTTTCATTCTGGTGCCAGCCATGTTGACAGGCTCCGGGATTTCATCAAGCATGTTTATGTCGATAGAAGATTCAGCAGTGAGAAGACCAATGATAAACCTCCAAGAGTAAAGGTGTTAAAGCATTTGTTTTCTTCTTTGGATTTACCATATTAAGTAGATACAAAATAGTTTATCAAGACTTGTGAGTTTGATTTGCCATATGAAACACTCATACATGATATAAATTCAACACCAAGTTCTAAAAGTAGTAGGATACAGTACATACGCGCACACACACGTATGTCAAAATTAAATTGGGTGCTCAATATCTTACAATATCACTGCTAGCTTCTCTCTCTCTAAATTAGCGTACAAGGTTAAAACAGGTTCCACCCTTTTGTAGTAATAATGATAAACATCTCGTACTGCTGTGTTGTAGTAATATCTGACAAAAACGCTGCTACCTTCTCTCTCTCTCTCTCTCTCTCTAAATTAGCGTACAAGGTTAAAACAGGTTCCACCCTTTTGTAGTAATAATGATAAACATCTCGTACTGCTGTGTTGTAGTAATATCTGACAAAAACGCTGCTACCTTCTCTCTCTCTCTCTCTCTCTCTAAATTTACTTACAAGGTTAAAATAGGTT